CTTGAAGGGTGTCCAGGATCAAGGTTAAAGTTCCCTTGGGGCGTGGAATGGCCTGGGCGAGGGGCCTCTGGTGGTTTGCAGGCCAGCCACATCCCCTGGTGACCCAAGCAGAGGCCCTGGCATCTGGAATTTATTTACCTTCTACAATTGAAACTTTGTAGCCTGGAGCGGAGCCAAGCCTCCTGCTTGCTCCTTGGCTGCTGCCATTTCTCTTTGGATTTACCTTCTATAATTAGACTTTGAAGCCTTGAGTGGAGGCTTACGCCAGCTAGGGCAGGTGGAAAGCTTGGCTTCCTCCATTGCCTGGGAAACCCAAACCTCTCTGGCCACGGCCATCTTGGTTGGTTGGGTTAATTTTATACTCGCTCTGATTGGCTGGTGGGTGTGGCTGGGGTGTGTGGCTTTTGGGTTTAGCAAAGGTATGGTCAGTTTGCATATTAATCTTTTATTAGATATGACTAGAGAGGCCTGATGCATGGAATTTGTGCACAAGGGGGCAGGGGTCCCTTCAGCGCAGCATGAATCCTCTCCTATCCAGGACCCCTTGGGGGATGTCTGACTGCCGGTTTAGGCCCGATCCTGTGGACATCCCTCTCACATTACTGGACCACTGGCTCCTAATTGCTCACCTGTCTGCCTGCCTGGTTGCCCCTAACCGCCCCTTCTGCTGGCCTGATTGCCCCTCACTGCCCTGCGTGCTGGCCTGATCACTCCTAAGTGCACCCTCCCTCCCCTCTTCTCCTCCCCCGCCAGCTTGGTCTCCTCTTACTTCCCCCTGATGCCAGCCTGGTCGCCCTCAATTGCTCCCCACCAATCTAGTCGCCCCTCACTGCACCCCTGCCAGCCTAATTGCCCCCAACTGCCCCTCTGCTGGCCTGGTCACCCTACACAGCCTGCTTGTTCAGTTGTTTGGTCGTCCCTCACTAAGCCCCCTATCGGTCTGGTCATAGGCAGCCATCTTGTGAGAGCATGAGAGTCAATTTGCATATTATTATATAGGATTGAGTATTTAAAATTCAAACAATAAATTTATATATATATATATATATATATATATATATATATATATATATATATTTCAAAAATGTGTGACTCAGGAATTTAGAAGTGTCTAGGACACTTAATAAAGACAAAATTATATCTTAATTACTATGCCTTTCTGTTAGTGAAATAATTCATTAACTGTTATGGAACATTTTGTAATAATGGCAGCTAAACATTATAGTACCTCACTTCTACTAGGCCCTGTGCAAGGTGCTCTGCATACCTTTAATCTTTTTAACAATCCTATGAAGGAGATGTTATTATAACCATTAACAGGTGAAATCACAGAACTTGGAGAGATCACATACTGTGCCCAAGAGCACCCAGGTAGGAAGCAACAGATTGCTTACTTTGCCCAACCATCTAATGACCATTTGAGCATCTACCTCACTTACATATTACATACACATTTTAAATATACTTTGCCTTTATTTATTTATGTTCAGGCCTGATTATTAAAGAAAGATCTAATGCATATTTATCATTTTTTTCTTCAATTTTATAAATGGACAGGACACAGTGTTCTTCCAATGTTTTTCTTTTTTGCACCTGAGTCTCACAGGGTGACTTCACATACTTTATCTTTCAGTGCTGAGTCAACTTTCTGAATCAGTTTTAGAGGCTGATTTGGGTCATTTAACATGCTTTTAAAACTTAACCTTGCCAAAAAAAAAGTGGACAACTCCCCCCTTATATCTACCCTCCCATATTGGGAAGTTAAGGCATCCCTACTGAAAACATGAGATATTTTTTAAAGATATATATTTTATTGATTTTTTATAGAGAAGAAGGGAGAGAGAGAGAGTCAGAAACATTGATGAGAGAGAAACATCAATCAGCTGCCTCCTACACACCTCATACTGGGTATGTGTCTATAACCAAGATCAGAATTGAACCTGGGATTCTTTTTTTTTTATTATTCTTTTTTTATTTTTATTGATTTTGTACAGAGATTTTGTACAGAATTGAACCTGGGATTCTTTTTTTTTTTTTTTTTTTAATATTTTTATTGATTTTGTATTGGTCGGTTTCTATGCCAGAGATAGAGAGCTAGAAACATCGATGAGAGAGAGTCATCGATCAGTTGCCTCTTGCATACCCCCCACTGGGGATATGCCTGCAACCAAGACACATGCCCTTGACCGGAATTGAACCCGGAATTGAACCAGGGTCCGCAGTCCGACGCTCTATCCACTGAGCCAAACCGGTTTTGGCAAACCTGGGATTCTTGAATCCACAGGCCGATGTTATATTCACTGAGCCAAACCACTTAGGGCATGAAATATTTTTAAGTCTTTTGTTTATTGTCAAAATTTAAACCAACAGTTGTGATTTATATTTCATAACATAAACTAGTACTAGGGGCCCAGTGCACAAAATTCGTGCATGAGGGGGCGTTCCCTCATCCCAGATTGCACCCTCTTCAATTAGGGTCCCCTTGGGGAATGTCCGACCAGCGGACGGACATCCCTCTTGCAATCTGGGACTCTTCTAACCGCTCACCTACCTGCCTGCCTGATTGCCCCTAACTGCCCTCCCCTGCCAGCCTGATCTTACCCTCAACTGCCTCTGCCTGCCTGATTGCTCCTAACTTCCCTCCCTTGCCAGCCTGATCTCGCCCCCAACTGCCCTCCACTGCTGGCCTGGTTGCCCCCCAACTGCTCTTCCCTGCCAGCCTGATCTCGCCCCCAACTGCCCTCCCCTGCCAGCCTGATCGCCCCTATCTGCCCTCCCCTGCCAGCCTGATCGCCCCTATCTGCCTCTGCCTTGATCCCCACCACCATGGCTTTGTCTGGAAGAAAGTAGGATGTTGGAAGATGGCTGGTCTACCTGGTCTAATTAGCATATTACCCTTTTAGTAGTATAGATAGATTATATAGGATATGATTGCTTAAATGGGTTGGGAGGAGGGAGAAGCCTTTTTCACCAGGAGGAGATGCTCTTGGCAGACAAAAACACATAATCCTTTTATCTGGACTGATAGCCAGCCATATGCACTATACTACCAAACCAGTCATAAAAAAAAAAAAAAAAAATTTGAACTGCTTTCTTACACCTTATACCAAAGAGTTGTTGCCCTTAAAACTCTCCTCAGCCCCACTTTAGGTTCTGGCTTTGCAGTTCACTCAGATTTGGTTCTGATTGGTCGGTTTCTATGCCAGTTAGCATCTCTGGGCCTATCTCTGGGCCTGATCAAAGAGATGGGCTGATGAGCAGCCCCCGAGGAGGCCCAGAAGGAGAGAGGTGCAGCTGCTAGCAAAGCCAGGGAAATAAAAAGAGAGGCAACAGCTGATCAACAGCTGCCACAGAGGCTGGGATCAGACCCTGCCTCTCTCTCTGCAGACCCCTCTCTGGTCCTGATCTGCAGCCTCCTCGGCAGTCAGTGCTGGGCCACTACGGCAACCCAGCACTGACTTCTGATGTTTGGTTAAGCCTTGGTCATTATGGACCCTCGTTCTCTCTCTCTCTCTATATATATATATATATTGATGTATCCCATTAGAATTCTTGATCACAATCAATACTAAGTGAATTTATTAGAAAGATATAAGGTAATTCACAGATATATCAAATACTAGGGAACCAGATTTAGGAAATAGGAATCTAGGAGGATGAGGGATTTAGAACCATAGCCAAGGCTATGCCACAGGAATAGCTGGTTAGAAGAGTGCTGGCATACATGTTTGTGTACACATTTACATATAATATTCTTCACTGTTAATAAGCAGAATTATTAAGAGATGGAATTAACTCAAAAGTTCGTCAATAGGATATTGGTAAAATAAATTATAATAATTAAGAAGAATTTATCAAATAAATATATATCTGTATAATGGAATGCTATATTGCAATAAAAATATTACAGATCTAAACATGCACTTATAGAGTGATATTCAAGATATAAAAAGTTGGGGAAAGTTACAAAATACTGTATTTAGAACTATTCTATTTTTATTTTAAAATATATTTATTTTTATATGTATAGAAAAAACTCAGAAGTAGTATATACCAAACTAATAATTGTTTTTTCTGGGTCATTGGTTACTGAGAGCCTTTGATTTATTATACCATGTTTCTGTAATGCTTGAAATACTTTTGCTAATAGATGTAAAGTAAATGAATATAAGACAATGACAGTCACATTTGGCTTTCTCTGCTGCATGTAAATTGATATTCTCAAAATCAAGAATTGATACTCCTTGCACTTCTCTCTTCATCTTCCACCATGGTAGTGCTCATTTCATCAATGAGTATAGTCAGCTAAATATTTAAAGAGTAAAGAACAGCCGAATCGGTTTGGCTCAGTGGATAGAGCGTTGGCCTGTGGACTGAAAGGTCCCAGGTTCGATTCCAGTCAAGGGCATGTACCTTGGTTGTGGGCACATCCCCGGTGGGGAGTGTGCAAGAGGCAGCTGATCAATGATTCTCTCTCATCAATGTTTCTAACTCTCTATCCCTCTCTCTTCCTCTTTGTAAAAAATCAATGAAATATATATTTTAAAAAAAGTAAAGAACAGATTATAGATTGCTGTTGAGTGACATGCTTTCAAATATTGCTTTACCATAGTATGTGGATCTTAATTCCACTTTAGTTCTATATATTTTATTTTATCTACTATTATTATTATTAGCATAATTTTTCAGTCTAAATATCAGGTTATTCTCTAAAGGTATTCTTTTTTTTCCATTCTTGCATAACCCCTGTATTTATATTATAAGAAAAAATTTTAACTTAGAGAAAAAACTTTTAGGTAAAGTTTAAAAATATTTTGCATGTGTTTAAATTTGGCATAAAATTTGATGAAACTCATTTTAATTGGATTTTAATATAGCAAATTACTGAATTGAAACATGTCATTTTAGTATAACAAGTTAATCATGTTAAGAATAAGTTAATGATTTTTATTTTTGTATTTGTTTTTAGCATTCCATATTGGAAGAAGAGACTACTATAGATGAAAAAAATGCCTTTGTTTAGTAAATCACATAAAAATCCAGCAGAAATTGTGAAAATTCTGAAAGACAATTTAACCATTTTGGAAAAACAAGACAAAAAGACAGACAAGGTATGAACTAAAACAATAATATTATTATTAAAATATATTTACTCCAAGGTCAAAAACCAACATAAAAGTTTAATGAAGTAACCCAAATATGGTCTGTGATTTATTTAGGATCTCTATAAATTTATTTTAGGTTTTATGCATCTATTCATTGGTGAGTCTATTGTCTTGAACTCTTGGCATATCAGAACAACCCTCTAATCAACTAAAAACTTTTTTATTAAAATTTTTTTATTTATTTAGAGAAAAAGTAAAAGAAGAAAGAGAGCAAGATAAACATTGATTTATTGTTCTACTTTTCTAAAAAAATATATTTATATTGATTTCAGAGGGGAAAGGAGAAGGGGAGAGAGATGGAGAGAAAACATGAATGCTGAGAGAATCATCAATCAGCTGCCTCCTACATACCCCACACTGGAGACCGAGCCCACAACCCAGGCATGTGCTCCAGACCGAACCAAGCCCAGACCTCTCAGTCCACAGGTCGTCACTCCGTACACTGAGCCAAACCAGCCAGGGCTGTTCTACTTCTCTATGCATTCATTGGTTGATTCTTGTATGTACTCTGACTGGGACTTGAACCTGAAGCCTTGGTGTTTCGGGACAATGCTCTAACCAACTAAAATACTTGGCCAAGGTGGTCTTGAGCTCTTGATGCATTATCTGGAGCCTCTGACCAACACTGGATTCCTCTAGACTACATAACTTAAAAATCTAAGTGGTTATCTATCTATCTATCTATCTATCTATCTATCTATCTATCTATCTATAAAATCCTAAACAACTGGCCATCTAGCTAACCGGTAGCTATGATGTGCACTGAACACCAGGGGGCAGATGCTTAATGCAGGAGTGGAAACCACAGGCACGGGAACATGGAACAGACTGATGAATCTCAGAAGGAAGGGGAGAGTGGGGAGAGCAGGAAGAGATTAACCAAAGATCTTATATGCACACTAGAGGTCTGGTGCATGAATTCATGCACCAGTGGAGTCCCTCGACCTGGCCTGCACCCTCTTGCAATTTAGGATCCCTTGGGGGATATCAGAGAGCCAGTTTTGACCTGATCCCTGCAGGCCAATCTGAGGGACCCCACCAGTGCACGAATCTGTGTACCAGGCCTCTAGTACCGATATAAGGGTAAAAAGCTTTTATTTAAAGGTCAACTGATAGTTTCTACTACAGTGCAACCTCATTTTAACATTGTTTTAAAATCCTACCACATAGTGCTTCAGGACGTTTTAGTGTTAGTATCTATAAGTGCAAAGTATATTTCTGTCTCAGTGTTGGATACAATCTTGTGTTCTTATAAGGATGTAGAAGTATATTTTTCATTCTACATCTTGTAAGTAATGTAGAAATATATTTTAATCCCAGTTTACTTGTAATATTGAACCAACTATTGGTCCAAATAGAAAAAAAAGAAAAGATCTTTTTAAAAGAGTAATTCTAAATGACAAGAAAGAAAACTTTTTAAAAAACATAAAAAGATATTCTCTTCATTACTAATCAGAAAAAGTCCAATTAATTGCAGTATATTCATAATGTACATGTTCTATCTTGGCAAAATTGTCTGATGGTGTTAAGTATTGACAAGTATGGAAAGCAATAAGAACTTTGATTCACTATGAGTGATAAAGCATAAATTGGTTTTTGGAAACAATGTTAGTATATTATCTGTTAGATAGGAAGGCATGCATGTTCTTGCTAGATATAAACTCTAGAGTTATTCTTGAACATAGTCCCAGGCTACATGAACAAGAATGTGATAGTATTGTGGTTTCCATAATAACCCCTCAATGGAAACAACCCAAATGTCCATCAACAGAAGAGCTGATGGTGAAGTGGTCCCACTATCATTGGAATACCATAGAAAATGAAAACTAAAGAACTGCTGCTTAGATGAGCAGCATAGATGAATCTCACAAATACAGTGTGGAGTGAAAGAAGCAAGCAAATTTTAAAAGGATACAGATACTATTCTAAATCAGTAAAACTGATTGGGCTACTAGCATAGGTAAGAAAACTACAAAAAATGTAAATAAATGCTGTCATAAAAGACATAACAATATTTACTTTTAGGCTGAAAGAGAGCCATTTAGGTAACTTAAATATTGTAAAAGGGGTACTTAAATGTTGTTTCTTGATCTGTGGTATGGTCACACAATTTAAGAAACTTCCAACCTTTAATAAGGATTGCTTCAGTAAGATCATAAATGTATATGGAAATTATTTCTTTAAGGAGTGTCACATTACTGACTAGTAACTACTGATAGGTCTTTAAAATAGAGTCATTTTAATTTCAAGAGTTAAATTTACAATTAATTACTTTTAAAATAGACTGTGTCTCAGTATGGTTTAAGAGAAAATATTTTTTCAATTATGCTGGCTAAATAGAAACAATAGAGCTCTTTTTTAGGTATAAATTTTAGTAACTTTTTAAAATAAAAAAAACCAGTGCTTACTAAAAGATTTTTGTTTATAACTGTACAGTGTTCTTTGATCACAAATAAATAAGGCTTAATAAGTGGTTTCTGTTTGTTTATTTGTTTATAGTCTGAAAATTTTTATTCACTTAAGTCTTAGCATACTTTTTGGTCACTAGGCTTCGGAAGAAGTATCCAAATCACTGCAAGCAATGAAAGAAATTCTGTGTGGTACAAATGACAAGGAACCCCCAACAGAGGCTGTGGCTCAGTTAGCACAAGAACTCTACAATAGTGGGCTGCTGGTGACACTGGTAGCTGACCTACAGCTGATAGACTTTGAGGTAAACTTTCTGTAAGAGTATATTGTATCTCTATTTTTTAATTTTAATATGTATGAGTATTAATATTTGACTTTAATTTTTATTACTGTTTATTATTTTTAAAGATTTTTTCTAAAACTCTAAAATCATTTTTAAAATGTATTTTTAAAGTTGATTTCAAAGAGGAAGGGAGAGGGAGAGAGAGAGAGAGAGAGAGAGAGAGAGAGAGAGAGAGAGAGAAACATCAGTAATGAAAAAGAATCATTGATCAGCTGCCTCCTGCATGCCCATAACCTGGGCATGTGCTCTGACTGGGAAACAAACTGTGACCTTCTGATTCATAGGGTGATGCTCAACCACTGAGTCACACCGGCCAGGCAGTTTTTAAAAATTACAGTTGACATACAATATTAGGGTCTATAGCGAGTAATTAAACATTTATATAACTTAATGAAGTGACACCCCAATGAGTCTGGTCCCATCTGACACTACACATAGTTATTACAATATTATTAACTATTATAGTTTGATATCAGGTAGCATGATACCTTCAACTTAATTCTTTTTTTTTCTTTTTTTTTTCCAAGTTTCCTTTGGCTATTCAGGGTCTGCTTCTAGATATTTTTTTTAGGATTATTTGTTCTAGTTCTGTGAAAAATATATTACCATTGGTATTTTGGTAGGGATTTCATTGAATCTGTAGATTGCTTTGTGTAGTATGGACATTTTAATAATGTTAATTCTTCCTAGTCATGAACATGGTATATTCTTTCATTTACTTTTATCTTCTTAATTTATTTCTGCAGTGTCTTATAGTTTTCTGAGGACAGGTCTTTTACCATTTTGATTGAATTTATTACTACATATTTTATTCTTTTTGATGTAATTGTAAATGGGATTGTTTTCTTAATTTTTCCTTCTCTTATTTTGTTGGTGTATAAAAATGCAATCGAATTCTGAATATTAATTTTGTATTCTGCTACTTTACTGAATTCATTTAATTAGTTCTAATAGGTTTTTTGGTAGGATCTTTAAGGTTCTCTCTATATAATTGTATGTAATCTACAAATAATTACAGTTTCACTTCTTCCTTTCATATTTGGGTTTCTTTTATTTAACATAGTTGATAATGCTATAATTTAAATAGCATTGTCATCAAATGCCCAGATGATTAATTTGATGATTTTTTAGGATGTGTCTGAAAGGTCAGTGATGGAACTTAGTAGTACTCAGTGCACAGAGATTTGGCCATCATTTCTCAGGAAAGGTTGTTCCCTTGCTTCATGGTTATTGGTGGTTCTGGGTGAATTTCTCCATAATGTTCTAGATGAAGCATCTGGTCCTTCTGCTTCTCTACCTTCTCAGAAGCTTTCCCACATTATTTGAAGTTATGTTTCAATTTCCTGGAAATCTGTTCATTTCAACTGTTACTAAGGCATCTGTTTGAATAAGTTCATTACCATTTATTTTCTTTTTTTAAACTTTTTTTATTGATTTCAGAAAGGAAGGGAGAGGAAGAGGGAGGTAAAAATATCAGGGATGAGAGAGAATCATTGATTGGCTGTCTCCTGCATGCCCCACACTGGAGATTGAGCCCACAACTCAGGCATGTGCCCTGACGGGAAATCGAACCATGAACTGCAGGTTTATAGGTTGACACTCAACTATTGAGCCACGCCAGCCGAGCACCATTTATTTTCTGGGTACATGCAGCTCATGAAAAACAAAATTTTGTAGTTGGAAGGAGTACATAAATAACCATTCTCCTATTTTTTTTTTTTTATTATGAAACTGAGATTTGCAAAAGTTAAATTACTTTGCCTCCAGAGCATTCAGCAAATAAATTACAGGTGTAGGATTGGAACTTGTGAGCATGACAGTCTAAAAGTATATTATTTTGTGTGTTTTTTTTTGTTTTGTTTTTTGTTTTTGTGTGTGTGTGTGTGTGATTTTGTTTGTTTGTTTGTTTTGTTAATTCTCACTCAAGGATATTTTTCAATAGATTTTTAGAGAGAATGAAAGGGAGGAAGAGAGGAGAAAGAAAAAGAGAATAAGAGAGTGACATCGATGTGAGAGAGCCATATCAATTGGTTGCCTCCCCCCAGCACTCTGACCAAGGCCGAGGATCAAATCTGCAACTTAGCTGAAACCGGTTTGGCTCAGTGGATAGAGCGTCAGCCTGCAGACTGAAAGGTCCCTGGTTCGATTCCGGTCAAGGGCGTGTACCTTGGTTGTGCGCACATCCCCAGTGGTGGGTGTGCAGGAGGCGACTGATCCATGTTTCTCTCTCATTGATGTTTCTGTCTATCCCTCTCTCTTTCTCTCTGTAAAAAATCAATGAAATATATATATATATTTAAAAAAAAAATCTGCAACCGAGGTACATGCCCTTGACTGGAAATGGAACCCCCAACACTTTGGTGAGTGGGCAATGCTCTAACCACTGAGGATACCGGCCAGGACTAAATGTGCCCTATGTCCTTTTTTTTTTTTTTTTTTTAACATTTCTTTTGTTTTTAAACTTATCTTTGTTGTTGAAAATATTACAGATGTCCCCATTGTGTTGTTGTTGTTGTTGTTGTTGTTGTTGTTGTTGTTGTTTTTCCCATTGGCCCCCTTCTCCTTGGACCCATCCTCTCCCCCTAAGCCTTTACCACTCTAATGTCTGTGTCTATGGGCTATGCATATATGCATTTATGTTTCCCATTTAATCTCTCCTCTCTACACTTCCACTCCCACTTTTCCTCTGAAATTCACCAGTCTGTCCCATGGTTTTGTGTCTCCGGATGTATTTAGTTCATCAGTTTATTTTGTCCATTAGATTCCACATATGAGTGAGATTATGTAATACTTATATTTCTCTGACTGGCTTATTTTACTTAGCATAATACTCTCCGTCCCTCCATGCTGTCTTAAAGGGTAAGAGATCCTTCTTTCTTACTGTGGCATAGTATTTCATATTATAAATGTACTACTGCTTTTTTATCCACTCGTCTACTGATGGGCACTTGGGCTGTTTCCAGATCTTTGCTATGAACATAGGGGTGCATATATTCTTTTTGATTGGTGTTTTGGGTTTCTTAGGATATATTCCTAGAAATGGGATCATTGAATCAAAGGGCAGTTCCATATTTAATTTTTTTAGGAAACTCCATACTGTTTACCATAGTAGATGTACCAGTCTGCATTTCCACCAGTTGTGTACTAGGGTTCCCTTTTCTCTATATACTTGCCAGCACTTCTCATTTGCTAATGATAGCCATTCTGACAGATGTGAGATGATACTTCATTGTCGTTTAATTTCCATCTTTCTGATAATTAGTGACTTTGAGCACTTTTTCATATGTCTCTTGGCCATCAGTATGTCCATTTTGGAGAAGTGTCTATCTAAAACTACTGGCATTGCACTGGAAGGCGAAGGGCATGCACGGTACCAGGCCTCAGGCTGGGCACCCACCCCTGGATGCCACCCCAGCAGGTCCCAGAGGAGAACTGGCAGCAGGCACCTCATCCCCCATGCATCCCAGCCAGTGCCGCATCCTCTGCAGGTGGAGTTATTGGTCTCTCCTCCCCACACACCCTCCCTATTGGCACTTCCCAGGCCAGAGGGCAGAGCACAGAGTTTTCTCTACACTCTGTCCAGGACACTCCCAGGCTTGGGGTTTTTCTATAGGTTTGGAGAGAGGAGGGTAGGGGGGCACAGGAAGGAGACCCTGACAATAAAGAGATTGGATTCCAACTTGCTCTGAAATAAATAAATAAATAAATAAATAAATAAATAAATAAATAAATAAATAAATCTACTGGGCATTGAACAAAAGAATTAGAGGAGATATAAACAAGTTGAAGGATATCCTGAATTCATAGATTGGAAGAATTAACATCATTAACATGTCCATATTACACAAAACAATCTATAGATTCACTGCAATCCCTATTAAATACCAATTGGCATATTCTAAAGATCTAAAACAAATACTCTAAAAAAATTTTTGGAACCAAAAGAGACCCTGAGTAGCTACAGCAATCTTGAAGGGAAGAACAAAGTTGGAGGGAACACAGTACCAGAGATCAAGTTATACTACAAAGCCACTGTAATTGAAACAGCCTGAGACTGGCACAAGAACAGGCATATAGATGATTGGAACAGAATAGCAACCCGAGAAATAGACCCAAGCTATTATGCTAAATTAATATTTGGCAAAAGAAGCAAGAGCATGCAATAGAGTCAAGATAGTCTCTTCAATAAATGGTTTTGACAAAAATGGACAGATACATGCAAAAAAAATGAAACTAGATCAATAACTTACATGATCACAAGAATAAACTCAAAATGAATAAAAGGCTTAAATGTATGTCATGAAACCATAAAAGTTCTAGAGAAACTGTAGGCAACAAAATCTCAGATATCTTTCGTAGCAGTATGTTTGCTGATACATCTTCTAGGGCAAGGAAAGCAGAAGAGAAAATGAACAAATGGGACTACATCAAAATAAAAAGAAACCATCGACACAATAAAAAGGGAGCTCACTGTATGGGAGAACATATTTGTCAATGATACATCTGATAAGGCATTATTATCCAAAATATATAAGGAACTCATGAAACTTAACAAAAGGAAGATAGAATCCAATTTAAAAATGGGCAGAGAATGATTTCTGAAGTAAATTGCCTTTGGTTTTCTCACTGAGGAAGTGAAAGGAAAACTAATTACAGTGATTAGACCAAGATAAGGTCAGGGCTCTTGGGGAATCTTGGAAATACTAGTCACAGGCTCTCAGATTGCTTAATTAAAAGAATATTTTTGGCTGACTGGAGCCAAGGAGGAGGAATACAGAGCAAGACTGCTCTGGAGGTGTGACACCAGGTGTGTTGAGTGGAACCAACACTGATTGAGGACCTCCAAGACCCAGACTTCAGTTCATTCTACCTTTTAGATACACTCGTCTTTTTCTCTCTTTTCATCCCGTATCTGTTTCTCTAGCTATGACATTTTTCTACCCAATAACGTATTTTCCTAC